ACGGGTTGCCACGGATTTCCTAAGGCTCTGCAGGCTGTACTCTCACCCTGCTTTGCCAGGGTGGAGGTTCTGAGGAATGCACTACCCGTGGCAGTGTGCCCACTTGCCACCCTAAAGCAGTGGTATTAGGAGACAACATGCACAGAAAGCTGATGTGAGGGTGGCACCGAAGATCCGTGCCTGGACAGGAATCTCACACGGCAGCCACCCTGCAGCACCATTTATGCACTGTGAATGAGGGTCTGGCTGGTGGGCATCACACCAGGGACTCTGGAGCCCACAAGGTTCTGAGTGAGCCCAGCTTGGCCCTAGCAGGAGAGTAGGCTCTAAGGGGACCCACCCATGGGGCCACAAGGGCTTATCTCTAGCCATCTCATCTTTTGGTTTCCACAAACCCCTTGAAAGACAGCTGACCCTGCTTGCTCCTCCCAGCCACCTCTTCTATGAATGCTGCCTGAGTTGTTGCACTACAGCCTGTGAGCAGTGCAGCAGAGCAGGGAGCCCCTTCACCACAAGGGTGGGCTTCAGGGAGCTCTGAACCCCAAGAATGAGATGCCATTTCAGGAGAGAGGGAATCAGAGCTTTCATTTAATTTCAAAAGCTCTTTGCTACCAGCCCCCACTCCCCCCCGAAAAAAGTGAAGAACCATTTCTCTAAGGTGTGTTAGTCTGCAGACACTGGGAACTTTCAAAATTAGCCTTTGTCAGAAAAAAAAAAAAATTATACCTCAGTTTGCAATAGTTATATAACCTTGACATGAAATATTTGGCAAATTCTTTCCACCTACATCAAAATTGTCATTTATGTAGCTAATTAATATTAACTGAGCACCTACTATAAGTGAGGACTGTGCCAAACTTTTACATTCAATCAGTTAGTTAATTCTCACAACAGGGTGAGATATGAGTTATTATTGTATTCCCATTTCAGAAGTGAGAAATTGGGGCACAGAGAGGTTCCAGGACTTACTAAGGTCACACAAGTGATAAGTCAGGACTAGGACCACAACCCAGATCTGCTGACTCCAGAACCCATATGGATATTCAACCTATAGTCAGAATTTCAACCACATTTTGTCTCAAGTTATAGCCATCCACCTCTTCTGATAATATAAGCCAATGTCTGTCCTTCCTTCTTTCCTTCCCTCCCTCCTTCCTACCTTTGCTTCCTTCCTTCATTCCTCTCCTCTCCCTTCCTTCCCTTTTCTTCCTTCCCTTGCTCACTTCCTCCTTTACCTTCCTTCCCCCTCCCTTCCTTCTTTCATTCATGCAACACATATTTCCTGTGCACTTGCTGCCTTCTAAGCATTGCTCAAGGTTAAGGAAACTGACAAGGCTGCTGCCTTCACAGAGCTTAGTTTATCAGGATCCTTTAAACTGTTCTTTCAGAGAATAACCATTCTGATCTACATTTTATTTTATTTATTTATTTATTTTGAGACGGAGTCTTGTTCTGTTGCCCAGGCTGGAGTGCAGTGATGCGATCTCAGCTCACTGCAGCCTCCACCTCCCGGGTTCCAGCAATTCTCCTGCTTCAGCCTCCTGGGTAGCTGGGATTACGGGCACATGCCACCACGCCTGGCTAATTTTTGTATTTTTAGTAGAGACAGGGTTTTACCATGTTGGCCAGGCTGGTCTTGAACCCCTGACCTCAGGTGATCCACCCGCCTTGACCTCCCAAAATGCTAGGATTACAGGCATAAGCCACCTCGGCTGGCCTAATGTTATGTTATGTTATGTTATGTTATGTTATGTTATGTTATGTTATTTTGAGACAGTGTCTCACTCTGTTGCCCAAGCTGGAATGCAGTAGCAGGATGATGGCTCACTGCAGCCTCAACCTCCCTTGGCTCACCTTCTACCTTAGCGCCCCGGATAGCTGACACTACAGCCGTGGGCCACCATGCTCGGCTAATTTTTGTATTTTTTTGTACAGACCGAGTTTCACCATGTTGCCCAGGCTGGTCTTGAACTACTTCTGGACTCAAGTGATCCACCCACCTTGGCCTCCCAAAGTGCTGGGATTACAGGTATGAGCCACCATGCCTGGCCCACATTTCTTTTTTTCTTTTTTTTTTTGAGATGGAATCTCATTCTGTCGCCCAGGCTGGAGTGCAATGGCATGATCTCAGCTCACTGCAACCTCCGCCTTCCAGGTTCAAGTGATTCTCTTGCCTCAGCCTCCTGAGTAGCTGGGATTACAGGCATGCACCACCATGTCCGGCTAATTAGTAGAGACAAGATTTCACCATGTTGATCAGGCTGGTCTCGATCTCCTGACCTTATGATCTGCCTGCCTCGGCCTCCCAAAGTGCTAGGATTACAGGCGTGGTCCACTGCACCTGGCCCCCACATTTCTTTAGACACTTTCACTCCCTTATCCTTTGTTTCCAACAAAGGTAGTGGCCAGGGCCAATTTGGCAGAGTTCTAGAAGTGCTCCCAGGCTGCACAGGCTAGAATCCTGCTGTTTTCAACTAATTTCCACAGTTGCTCCTGTGAGTTCCCTCTGCACTCTGCTCATATTCCTATTAGGAACTCATTATGCTGCAGTGAACTACTCATTTACACATCACATCCCTCTCTTCCCTTCTCTTCTACAAGCTCCTTGAATGCAGGGACAAGGCCTGCCTAACTCAGGTTTTTCATCTCCAGCCCCAGGACAGAATATGGAAATAGCAGGTACCCAGCAAATGTTTTCTGCTCTAGCTGACTGTCTCAAATCGTTTCCAAAGGATCCATTCAAGTTTTCCTTCCTGGATCTTTTCCCCCACTTTTCTGTTATCCCTTTCAAAGGAAACAGCACCACACTGATAGAGGCAGGACTAGAGTCCCACTTCCCTGCTTTAGGGAAGCTAAACAGTTTTCTTGCTTAGCTCCAGGCTCACCAGCTTTGCTGGCATCAGAAGAGATGGTATTTTGGAGAGTGGCTGAATGCTTGGCTCCTAGGGACTTATATTGGACCATCCTGTCCAATGTAGTCAGATACTACATTAAAGCAGGAGCCTCAAGGCACAAGACCCACGAAGCAGGAAGAGAGACTCAGCTCTCCCCAAGGCACAAGTCTCCATTCCCCATCTTTAGTTCAACTGTTGCCAATGTCTCCAATCCTTATTTATTTTAATTTTTAATTTTAATTTAATTTAATTTTTTGTTTGTTTGTTTTTTGAGATGGAGTTTTACTCTTGTTGCCCAGGCTGGAATGCAATCGCAATCTCAGCTGGCTCACGGCAACCTCCGCCTCCCAGGTTCAAGCGATTCTCCTGCCTCAGCCTCCCAAGTAGCTGCGATTACAGGCATGTGTCACCACACCCAGCTAATTTTGTATTTTTAGTAGGGATGGGTTTCTCCATGTTGGTCAGGCTGGTCTCGAACTCCTGACCTCAGGTGATCCACCTGCCGTGGCCTCCCAAAGTGCTGGGATTACAGGCATGAGCCACCACGCCCAGCCTTATTTTATTTATTTATTTATTAAAACAGAGTCTTGCTCTGTCACCCAGACCGGAGTGCAGTGGCACAATCTCAGCTCACTGCAACCCCCACCTCCCAGGTTCAAGCCATTCTCCTGCCTCAGCCTCCTGAGTAGCTGGAATTACAGGCACACGCCACCACACCCGGCTAATTTTTGTATTTTTACTAGAGACGAGGTTTTATCATGTTGACCTGGCTTGTTTCAAACTCCTGAGCTCAGGTGATCCACCCACCTCGACCTCCAAAAGTGCTGGGATTACAGGTGTGAGCCACCATGCCCGGCCAATGTCCCCATATTTAGATTGCCTGTCACCAACAGTTTGAGCCCCGGGTGCAAGGAGACATATCCCAGATTTTCCTGAGCTTCAGAAAGCATAATCTCCAAAAAGGCCAGGCGTGGTGGCTCAAGCCTATAAACCAGGCACTTTGGGAGGCCAAAGTGGGCGGATCACCTGAGCTCAGGATTTGGAGACCAGCTTAGCCAACATGGTGAAACCCTGTCTCTTTTAAAAATACAAAAATTAGCTGGGCATGGTGGTGCATGCCTGTAGTTCCAGCTACTTGGGAGGCTGAGGCAGGAGAATCACTTGAGCCGGGGAGGTGGAGGCTGCAGTGAGCCAAGATCCCGCCACTGCACTCCAACCCGGGGGATAGAGCAAGACTATGTCTCAAAAAAAAAAAAAAAAAAAAAAAAAGTATAATCACCAAAAGAAATGGCCATGACCTGAGTTCAAATCCTGACCTTCCCACTAACTCATTGTCATCTTGGGAAGCGATTTAATCTCTCTGGGTTCAGTTTTCCTTATGAAAATGAGGAGGGATGGGCCAAGGTGATTGCTAAATCTTTTCCAGTTCTAAGGCATTGTGGGAAAAAAACTTTTTAAAACTTTGTATGCTTCCCACACAAAATTTTAAGGCATTTCAACCTTTAGAAGAATTGTTTAACTGAAATAACATACTCATATTACAGGTGAGGAAATGTGGGCAGAGGTTTGATGACCGTCCCGAGGTGACCCAGGGCTCCTGCGCCTTTTTGCTAGAACAGAGTAACTCCCGAGTAGCCACAACAGCAGCTTCATGCCCAGAACCCCAACCTCCTTCTTCTAGCCTTGTATCCACCACCTTGGTGCTCAGTGACAAGAAAGAAGCCATGACAAAGGGCCTAACTCGGAGGTCATACCCACTACCATTCCGTAGGGGCCCAGGCCTTTTCCGAATTCCAAATGACTTCCCCCCAGGGCCAGGTCCCGGATTTAGGAGTAGGGGTGGTGCACTGGCGCGATGTGAACGCTGCTCAAAGGCCCCCGGTGGCCATGGGAACATGGGCCCAGCCTCCTGCGCTGCCATGGTAACAGGCTCCCCCGGCGGCGGGCGCCAGTGCCCATCAGAGCGTGCAGGTGGCGCCCTCTGGGGAGAGGGGCCGGGCGGGAGGTGCGGGTGCAGGGGTGGGGGCGGCGGCTGCGCGGCGGTTTCCGCCTGGTCCGCCACCCCAGGCCGCGGCTCCCACCTCGCCGGGCACCCCCCGCGCCTACCTGGAGTGAGTCACGGCCAGCGCACGGTCATCGCCCCCCGCGGGGCCGCTCTTCCCACAGTGTCCACTGACTCGTCCCCCTTGCCAGGCCAGCCCAGCGCCGTCCCTGGGGACCCAGAGTCTCGGGCGCACAGCCTCGGTCCGGCGCGGCGTCCCAGGAAATGCTGGGCCCCCGCCAAGCCCCGCCCCGCCCCGCCCGTGTTTACGGGAATTGTCCGCAGGGCGCCTCCGGGACTTCCCTGATGGGGGTCGTGCCCCCCGCCCCACCACCGCCACCAGCCCCAGCCCCCGGCCATTTGCAGCAACGCTAGACTCGATGCCACGACCACCCTGGCCTGTCGGGTCCCCCTCGCCACGACCGCTTGTCGGCCCAGGTTAGCCGTGGAGCCCAAGGGACTGTGCGGTCCTTCACCTTGGGAGACTCGGCCTTGCTGGACCTGGGCCACAGGGGGCGGCCTCACTAGCTGGAGTCTGGGCTGGCCCAGGTTGAAATCCTAGATCCACTCTCACCTAACTGGCTGTGTTATCTAGGACGAGTTCCTTAACCTCTCTGAGCCTTGAGTTTTTCATCTGTAAAGTGGGCATCAGAACACTAGAGACCTCACAAGGTTGTGGTGGGAAATGCAATGGTGGAGGCACACACCTGCACATGGTCGGCTCTCAAGAATGGTAGTATTGTTTACAGAAGGAGGCAAGTGAGAGGAAGGCAGAGCCCCACTCTGTGAAACCACACGTCTCCACCCGAGATAAATGCTGCTCACTGCTCTCTTATCATGCAGTGGGCGGGCGTGCTCAGAGAGTAAATCGAAACGGAGATCCGCAGGAGGGGTGAAAGATAGGGTTATAAATATCCCGCATTTATCAAGTGACCTTGGCTCCTCCCTCTCCAGCTCTTGCGTCCTGGTGCTCCTATCTTCCAGGAAAGCAACAGCAGCTTTCAGGGCGGTTGCTGAAACAACCAGTTCTGGACTTGTAAGTGGCTGAGCTGGCCTGAGCTGGCTGGTCAAGGGACTGCAGAAACCAGAGGGCAAGTGGCAGCCCGTTCCAAGGCCGGGCGGGCCTGGCCTAAGTGTACATTGTCCTTCTGCAGCCTTTCCTCTCCGGGAATTGCTGCCTAGCTCCTCCAGAAAAAGAAAAAAGTGATTACTTTTGTTACCTCTCTATAAAAGTAAACACATATTTAGTACAAGAAAGTTAGACAACAGAAAAACACAATTAAAAATAATATCACTAGGCCGGGCGCGGTGGCTCACGCCTGTAATCCCGGCACTTTGGAAGGCCGAGGCGGGCGGATCACAAGGTCAGGAGATCGAGACCATGGTGAAACCCCGTCTCCACTAAAAATAGAAAAAAATTAGCCGGGCGCAGTGGCGGGCGCCTGTAGTCCCAGCTACTCGGGAGGCTGAGGCAGGAGAATGGCGTGAACCCGGGAGGCGGAGCTTGCAGTGAGCCGAGATTGCGCCACTGCACTCCAGCCTGGGTGACAGAGCGAGACTCCGTCTCAAAAAAAAATAAATAAATAAATAAAAAATAAAATAAAAATAATATCACTCATAATTTCATTTTACCTACACATCAGCATCGGCCGTTCATTTTTTTTTTTTTTTCGGAGAGTCTTGCTCTGTCACCCAGGCTGGAGTGCAGTGGCTCTATCTCAGCTCACTGCAACCTCTGCCTCTTGGGTTCAAGCAATTCTCCTGCCTCAGCCTCCCAAGTAGCTGGGATTACAGGCGTCTGCCACTACGCCCGGCTAATTTTTGTATTTTTAATAGAGACGGGGTTTCACAATATTGGCCAGGCTGGTCTCGAACTCCTGACCTCGTGATCCGTCTGCCTCAGCCTCCCAAAGTGCTGGGATTACAGGTGTGAGTCACCACATCCGGCCGGCAGCGTTAATGTTTTTAAAAACTTTTTAAAAATTGAGATTAATTTGCATGTAGTAAACTGCACAAGTCTTAGGTGTACTGGTGTTAATATTTTGGTGAATATCTTCCTGTTTGTTTCCTATGCGTAAGTATACACTTACATCTTTTAGAAAAAAGATGATTCAGTACATACTTTTTTCTAACTTTTACTTAAGACAGCATTATTTTACGTTTTTCTTTTTCTTTCTTTCTTTTTTTTTTTTTGAGATAGAGTCTTGCTCTTGTTGCACAGGCTAGAGTGCAGTGGTGCGATTTCCGCTCACTGTAACCTCTGCCTCCCAGATTCAAGCGATTCTCCTGCCTCAGTCTCTCAAGTAGGTGGGATTACAGGTACCCACCACCACACCCAGATAATTTTTGTATTTTTAGTAGGGATGGAGTTTCACCATGTTGGCCAGGCTGGTCTCGAACTTCTGACCTCAAGTGATCTGCCTGCCTTGGCCTCCCAAAGTGCTGGGATTACAGATGTGAGCCATAGCACCCAGCCTATATCACGTTTTTCTATAACATTAAAAATTCTTGCTCATGCCTGTAATCTCAGCTCTTTAGGAGGCCGAGGTGGGCTGATCACAAGGTCAGGAGTTCGAGACCAACTTGGACCAACTCCGTCTCTACTAAAAATACATGGGGTATTTAGTAGAGATGGGGTGAAGCCCCATCTCTACTAAAAATACAAAAATTAGCCGGGCATGGTGGTGCCCGCCTGTAATCCCACCTACTCAGGAGACTGAAGCAGGAGAATCGCTTGAACCCGGGAAGCAGAGGTTACGGTGAGCTGAGATCACACCACTGCACTCCAGCCTGGGCAACAGAGTGAGACTCCATCTCAAAATAAATAAACAAACAAACAAACAAATAAAAGAATTCTTGCATACTTTCATTTTTATGTATTCTATCACACGAATGTAGCATACATTTTTAATCAAGTGGATATTTAAGTTGTTTCTTATTGTTTATTATCTTAAGTAATGTTGAGATAAGCATCCTTGTCAATAAATGTTTATGCACTTCCTGAATTATTTCCTTTTGCCCTTTATATTCTTCCTTCCTCCTTATAGTCATCCAATTAGTAGCAATATGTACTGTGTTTATAACTAAGGCCGTGAACTTGTGCAAACGACTTTTAAAATCCTCTCAATCCTCTTTTTTTTTTTTTTTTTTTTTTTTGAGACGGAGTCTCGCTCTGTCGCCCAGGCTGGAGTGCAGTGGCGCGATCTCAGCTCATTGCAAGCTCCGCCTCCCGGGTTCACGCCATTCTCCTGCCTCAGCCTCCCGAGTAGCTGGGACTACAGGCGCCCACAACCGCGCCCGGCTAATTTTTTTGTATTTTTAGTAGAGACGGGGTTTCACCATGGTCTCGATCTCCTGACCTTGTGATCCGCCCGCCTCGGCCTCCCAAAGTGCTGGGATTACAGGCGTGAGCCACCGCGCCCGGCCTCAATCCTCTTATTAGCTCTGCCTTTCAAACAGTGCTGGGGTGGGGACACTCCTTGCTAAGGATATGGAAAGCACAGCTAAATTAGAGGTCTTGCCTAAGGTCACCCAGCCCCTGCAAGCTGTGCCTTGCAAGAGGCTATGTTAAAAATCAGCACTTCTTTCTCCATAACACCCTCTAGAAAAAAATATTAAAATTATTAAAAACAGATTTAATAAAAATTAAAATCAGCACTTCCAATTTTCCAGCACACAGAGCACCTTGGGCGCATCACTGCTCAGAAGAGCACCTGGAAACTAGGACTCCCCCGTGGGGCCTCAGAGCTCTGCAGGGATTCGGCTACTGGTCCCCAGACCAGAAGAGTACTTTCCCCTGCCTACTCCGGCGCCTTCTCCCTCCTCCCTTTTCCTGATCCTTCTCCTCCTCCAACTTCCTCCAGTCTTCTGTTGAATAAAGGGAAAAATCTTTAATGTTGTTGAAATAAAGCCCTGTCTTTAATGTTATTGATCCCCCCTTCTCCCATCTCCTCCCCCGACCCCCAATACACATACCCTTTCCTCTCTGCAGGACCTCAGGTGCAGAGACGTTTGAGTTAATACCTTTTCGGTTCACAGCACATTATTATCATTTGTCTGCACAGGGACCCTTGATTAATGTAGCTGTTTGTTTCCTTTTATCATCATTCCTCCTCCCGCTCCCTCTCCCGATAGAAAACCATTAAGGTGTTTAATATACATGTTATTGTTCTTACATGTTCTTTAAAATGTGTAATTTTAGAATTAGATACATGTTTTTGTTAACTTTTTTTTTTTTTTTTGAAACGGAGTCTGGCTCTGTCGTCAGACTGGGGTGCAGGGGCATGATCTTGGCTCACTGCAACCTCCGCCTCCTGGGTTCAAACGATTCTCCTGCCTCAGCCTCTCAAGTAGCTGGTACTACAGGGACCCGCCACCTTGTCTGGCTAATTTTTCTTGTATTTTTAGTAGAGACGGCGTTTCACCATGTTGGCCAGGATGGTCTTGATCTCCTGACATTGTGATCTGCCCGCCTTGGCTTCCCAATGTGCTGGGATTACAGGCCTGAGCCACCACTCCTGGCCTGGTAACTTTTTAATTTTGAAACAATTATAGATTCACAGGAAGTCGCAAAAATAGTACATAGTGTCCCATGAACACTTAACCAGCTTTCCCCAGTGATGAACTTATATAACTGTAGCAGAATAGCAAAATCGAGAAATTGACATTGGTCAATGCTGTAAATAGACTGCAGACCTTATCGTTCAGTGTTTGCATGCACTTATTTGTGCATGCACGTATATATGTGTGTATAGTTTTACGTAATTTGAATCCATGAATGCATTTGTGTACCAACCACCACCATCAAGAACTGTTCCATCCCCGTGGGGTAATCCTTCATGGTACCTCTTTATAGTCACACTCCTGTCACTGTTCCCTCACAACCATTAATCTCTTCTCCATCTGTATAGTTTTGTTATTTCAAGAATGTTATGTAAATATAGTGCATAATCTTTTGAGATTGGGTTTTTCCTTTCTCTTTTAAAAAATTTTTTTAAGACAATGTCTCTCTCTGTCATTCAGCCTAGAGTGCAGAGATTGGCCTCTTTCGATAATCACAATGCCTTTGAGATATATCCAAGTCATTGTGTGTATCAATAGTTCTTTCCTTTTTATTACTGAGTAGTATCCCATGGAATGCATGTACTAGAGTTTAACTTTTACTTTTTTTTTTTGTACAGATGGGAGTCTCACTATGTTGCCTACGCTGGTCTTCAACTCCTGGGCTTAAGCAGTCCTCCCACCTCAGTCTCCCAAAGTACTGGGATTATGGGCATAAGCCACCACATTCAGCTCAAGTTCATCCACCCATTGAATTGAAGGCTATTTGAGTTGTTTCCAGTTTTGGGCTATTACAAATAAAGCTACTCTAAACATTTGTGTACAGGTTT